AAAAGAAAGGAGTAACTTTTTCAGAGTGTGGCATCGTTGCAAGAAAAGTTAGTAAATGTCTGACTGTGTATTGTGGCGAAAATATATTTGTTAAAAAAAAATAAATTAAAGATTTTGTTGCACCTGAGCCACTTCAATTCAAAGATTGTTCTTATATGTGTACAAGGTGATCACGCGAAAAGTGACTTTCCCTTTCTTTCCGTTGCTGTCCAAGATTAAAAAAAAATGAGAGTGAACGCTGTAGAGATTTAAGAAATTTTTTTAACGCACTTTTTTAATCGAACGCCCTGTATATTTTTAGACTTGAAAAGACCACCGAAGGAGCTTTTCAAAGGTGTATTTTATATGATACTTTAAATTCCTAAATTTCAACAAAGTAAAAATTTTACATTAGCTGTGTTATGCCTAATGCGCATGCTCGGAAAGATTAGCCTCATACGCAGGTGAGCTGTTGGTGATATGTTATCGCTGTCATCATTAGCGTACTTTCTCTTATTTGACGTATGTGACGTCATTACTAAAAAGATCTATTGTCACAGAATTTTTATTTTATTCTATTTTCGTACCTCTAACAAGAATGGAGAAAAAGGGGGTCAATTTTAGCGTGATCACCCTGTACTAAAAAAATTAAATTGCAATTGTTTTCTTAAATTGACTAGATAAAATTTGTATACGGTTCCCAATAAGACGCGACTAAATTTCCTATTTCACAAAAGATGACCAAGATTTTGATTGTCTTCAACTGACATAGGAAGTTTCTCACAAATTTTTAAGCTTTTACTAATATTTGAATGCATTATTTTACAAAGGTGTTGTTTCCTGCGCGAGTTTTGTTCATGATGAATGATGAAGTGGGATACCATGAAAAACTATTAAAAAAGTTTAAGTTGAATTTTTTGGACATAGATTGTTTGAAATTTTGTCGTAAAAATATTTTTTCATATCCTACAACATATTTTTAAGGGAATTTTTCTTATACAGATACAGATCTAGGTATTTGTGGTATTGTATTTATAATTTTTTCTAAATATTTGAATCTATTACAATATGTCCTCTTAATATAATAAAAATATAGATAGATATATCTTAAAAAAATAGAGATAATTTAGAAAAAAAAACAAAATTTAGCTTTTACATAATGAAGTTTCAAATTATATCACTGTGTACTAGATATTATTAAAATCCGGTATGCCTTTTTCTTTTAGTTTTCTAATTTCTACTTTATTTAAACAATTTTTACAGCATAAACATAAATCTGTGTCCAGCTTTGGACCGTTTGTCAGCCAAATTAAATGAACACCCAGAACACTTAATGATTATATGTGTGTAAAGTTGGGCTAATGGAAAACTAATATTTTTAAGTGACTATACTGACAGATACCAAGTTGGTAGTTAAGTATAACAAATAACTGGTATCTAAATTAACTCGCAACTATTTTCTTTGACAGGTTAATGATTGCATATGGCGTACACTAGTTGACATAGGAAACAAGTTGTCTTGACGGACTCAAGCGAGGAGTAAATGGATTATTATGCTATTTACTGTTTCGCTAAATATATGTATATGTATTATTTACAATAATAAGTGTATAGCCTTTGGAAAACAAAGTATTTTGTATTACTTTCAATTGCAACGCAATTAAGTCTAAGATGATACGAACTAATAATAATAACTTAAATATAATTATATATAATAATATAGATGATACTATTTTTTTTATTATGGCCAGTGATCTTTTGATTAACAAGTAATTTTTTTGCTTTTCTCTTATATCAGTTTCAATTTAGACTCAATTATGAATACAGATACTGACATGATTTCTCAAATTTCCTTAAACAAACCCCTACAGAACAAAAAACAAACAGCTTTTCCACACTTTTTTTTTCTCTATCGTATCAAATTTGATCAGTTTACTTCTATAAATATGGATAGCATTTTTATATCCAATGTTCAGTTAAACAAAAATAATTATATACCTAGAATTATTCTGTGGCGTTTCTTGTCCATCATAAAATTCTTCTATAAAAAATAATAATAAGCAAATTGAACACTTAAATTAGTCTTACTGCTAATGTAAAATTATGACATCGAAACGACAGTCCTTTCAAAACTGTAACATAAGAACATAATATCAAAATAATTGTTTGAATATGACCAATTAATTACTGAACAAATTTGTAGGTACAAGTCCATTTTAAAATCTATAAAGCAGTGTAAGTAAATTCACCTTATTAAAATTAAGTACCTGCATGTCTCGTAAATTGGACTGAATTAGAACTTTTTATATTTAGATTTGATGAATTGTGACGACACTTCTAAAACTTCGACCATTATGTCAACATATATATTGACTCTTGATATTTGAGTAACAAAAGAACTATCTCTACTAACCCGCATTACCCTTATATATTATTTTTTACATTTTATTAACGCTACTATGTATTTTTTAGCTTTAAGGGTAATATTAAATAGCAAATCGGTTTCTTTTGTCGAAAAAAGTCGGTAGAGCCACCTTATTAAAAGTTGCAAGTAATTGGAATGAATTAGGAGATAATTTTTTAAATACTAATCTGACGAATTGTTGATATTAAAAACATTTCTTTTATTATAACAAACATAGCCTAATCCTTTCAGTTGGTAGAGAAATTTTAATATCTATGCAAAATAAAATAATACCTACATTATCTTTATTTCTATTTTTTTAGATTTAATGTAACCAACATAAGTCCCTTGTGAAAAATTGGATATTTGAGCACAGCTACATTATTATTATTTGTTATTTTTGTATTTCATTCACGTTAATGTATATTGTTTACATTTACGGTTAATAAATAAAAAAATAAAATAAATCCAGTAAATTCGCCTTACCTGTAAATTCGTTCAAATTGGACTAAAAATCTGATAATTATAACATAATTGTTGCCACTCGCAAAATATAATTATTTTTTTTTGAGTAATAGAGGAATACCGACAAGAATGTATAATTTTTAAATTTAAGAGTAATAGCAAGAAAGTAATTCAACTCAATATCTGAATAGAACTCAGTAAATTCGTCGTATTAAAAGTTGTTTGTACATTAGACTGAGTTAGGCAACATATTTTTTTAACTAGTTAATCTAGTGAATACAACTTTATTGTTGACACTCCTAAACCTTCCACCATTACGATCAATAAGGCCTAATCTCTTAGTTGGTTGTCTAATTCTTACTAAGAAATACCGGCATTGTCCTTATATATTAATTTATTAAATATTGTTATGTATTTTTTACATCTAAGGGCAATAATAAGTAGTGCATCTATTTATTCTTTCAATACAACTCACAATCAGTAAATTCGCCTTATTAAAAGTCGCTTGTAAACTGGACTAAATCAGGCAAGAATTTTTTAAATTATAATCTGAGAAATATAATGTCATCATCGATTCTCCTACAATATTATGTATTTTTTGTATTTAGGAGAGAAACAGTAAATAGTTATACAGTTTTCTTTTTCAACGCAACTCAGTAAATTCGCCTTATTAAAAACTGCTTGTAAATTGGACACAATAAGGCAAGGATTTTTTAACTTTAGTCTCGTGAATACAACTTTACTGTCGATATTACTAAAATTCCATTACAGTAAATACAGCCTACGAAATGATTGACTAATTTAGTTATTTTAGTAATAAGTATTTAGTATTATCCTTATTTGCGATTTTTTTCTTTTTTTAAATGATGATATGTATTTTTTACATTTAGGGTAGTAGCAAATACAATTAACTAAATTCGCCTTATTAATTAGTTTATTTTAAATTTGACTAAATTAGTCAAGAAATGTTTAAATTATTTCATGAAATATAACTTCATTATCCTTATTTGTAATTATTTTTTTTAAATATAATTATGTATTATTTACATTTAATGGTAATAGTAAATAGTACATGTATTTATTTTTCCAATACAACTCAATAAATTGGTCTTATTGAAAGCCGCTTGTAAATTGGACTAAATTAGGCAAGAATTTTTTAATTAAAATCTGGGAGATATAACGTTATCATTGATACTCCTACATTATGTAAGTATTTTTTATATTTAGGAGAAACAATAAATAGTTATACAGTTTTCTTTTTCAACGCAACTCAGTAAATTCGCCTTATTAAAAACTGCTTGTAAATTGGACACAATAAGGCAAGATTTTGTTTAACTTTAGTCTCGTGAATACAACTTTACTGTCGATATGTCTAAAATTCCATTACAGTAAACGCAGCCTACTATACGGTTGACTAATTTAGTTATTTTAGTAATAAGTATTTAGTATTATCCTTATTTGTGATGTTTTGCATTTTTCACATGATTTTTAATTAGTTTATTTCAAATTTGACCACATTAATCAAGAATTTTTAAAATTATTTCATCAAATATAACTTCATTATCCTTACTTGTTATTATTTTAAATATTATGTATTATTTACGTTTAACGATAATAGTAAATAGTACATCTATTTATTTTTGCAATACAACTAATAAATTGGCCTTATTGTAAATTGGACTAAGTTAGGCACGAATTTTAACTTGGTTAATTTAACTTCATTGTTCATATTAAAATATATAAATGATTTTACTTATATTACTATCATCTATACATATTTTTACATTTAAGGAAAACAGGAACTGGAAATTCCATTTCTTTTTTGCAATATGGCTCAGTAAATTCGCCTTATTAAAGGTTGATTGTAAATTAGACTAAATTAGGCAAGAATCTGGTTATTATCTACCAATTGTGCGGATACTTCGGGCATTGCAGCAAATATTATTATCTACCCACTTCAGTGGTTGACTAATTTCGTTATTGGAGCATAACATAACGAAAAGAAAGATACAAATATATAGAAATTAGTTGTGAACTGATTATAGAGTATTCCCTAAAGGAGTAAGCGAACAGAAAACCGATTGTATCCAAAATTGGAGGACATGACTCCAATCTTCAAGGGAAAGTGACAGTTATACTTAAAAGTCCTTACCCGAACTTCCAGTTTGGTGGCCGGCGAGGCCGAGGACCGCCGCCGGCGACGGCGCCCCGTTAGCGTTCATGCTGGCGGCCGCCGCAATGTTGTGCGGCAAAAAGGCCGCCGCTACCGCCGCCTGTGCGTTGAAGTAGGCCATGCGGCTGGCTGCCATGGTCATGTGGTGGTGGTTGAAGCCGTGGTCCGACGGGAAGCACGTAGGCGCCTGCAAGTGTCTCTGGGGGTACACGTTGGGCGTGATGGCGGACACCGCCGCCGTTGGGGACCTGTGCTGGCTATCGCTGAGGCCCAGCAGCTCCTGGATGGCGAACGGCGACCTCTGCGGCATGGTCTGGGATGGTTTGTTCAGGATGCTGGGAGCAGTGACGTGTATGGTGTTTTCTAACGTTTCATTGTTCATTTTTCGATGCCCTGGTGAGCGCGGCCACAAGCGACTTGGTCAGTTACCGTCGGCAAACGAACGAACTCATTTTTCAGTCCCGCGCCACTCGAAAAAGGTCCTTCGTTGTATCGGTACACTAAATACAACACTGGCAGTACGGATCGGCGCGGGGCCACTGATTAGTATTCGATTTTTGGCGCGGTTTCCAATGGGGTTTGTACAGAACCTTACATGGCCAAATATGAGAGTCAACTGACTATTTCAATTTGAAAAACCAGTCCGTAGGTCTCTTACAAACAAAGATACTCCCTAATATTCAAGTCAAAAGGACCCCTTAAAGTAGGCGTGGTGACGTTTCTACCAATAATCGCCGTGAAAAGCTCGTCCTTATTGGCATGCCCGTCGGTCGGCATTCCGGCCCGTAACGATCCGGCTCGAAGGACCAGAATCGCGAGTGGCGACGCGCGTCAGGCGTGGTTAGCGGGGGAATTGTTTGGATGTCGTTGTGCTCTATTCTTGCGAGGTATACGGTTCAGTTTCGGTTGCGTTTTATTACAATTACTGTCAAATAGCTTACATGCTTAATTAGTAACGATGTGTTCAATTATCATAATTGGGCGCAATTAATTGGCTCTGTTTTAGTTCGTGACACAAAATAGTATTGTAATCATCTAATTAACGTCAAATTATTTTTGTTGCCGATTGGAATTACTTTGTAATGTAATAGAAAAGGACGTTTTAATTATGGGGTATTGTAAACGGCGCTTTGTTGAAATATAAAAATAAGCCCGGTCATCTCCCTGACCTTAATTTTTTACTTTTAAAATATATAAAATATTTGGAAGGCCACTGAAATGTGCGTCCAGTATCTGGGCAAATACACTGCCCTGCACATGCGGAGGTACCTGGTTAAAAAAAATTAAAAGTAAATTAAATTTTTGTCAGTCACGACAAAATAAATATTAAATAATCGATTTCTAAGCTGATATGCTTATTATAATGTAAACTCTATCTACTTGTTTCATATTTTTCATGTCGAAAATTGTAATTGTGGATAATTAATTATAAAATTTATGGAAATAAAATCGTCTTTCTCGATAACACGCTTTTATCAAAAAGCATATTTATTATGTGACTGGGTGTTTATTTATACCGAGTTACAGGTAGATACGTATATATTCAACTTTATTTTATTACATATATTGATGTGTATGATCAATGAAAATGACTTTCTATAAGCGTTTCTACTTTGTATCATTGGGTTCAAACTTTAAACGTGCCAAAAACATAAGAAAAAGTAAACGATGACAGTTTCTTGGAGACATAAGAAACAAAAATCTGAGTCTACAGCGAATTTCTTTGCAAAAAGTAGCTTTGAAAAAGTTTGTACAGATTTAAAAAAAATCTTAAAAATTTGAATATTTTAAGTCTATACAAATGTATCTAAAATCCAAACAGCTAAAACTGGTCTGCGAGCCTATTAAGTTAGTACTAGTAGTAGTGTTAAGTTTCCACTTGTTATAATTTCTGAGATCTGAATCCCTAAAGTACACCTGTACAGTTTTGAAATATGTAGAAACTATTTGATCTTCATTTGTTTTCTAGCTACTGCGTAAATGACCTAAACGCCTATAAATTGGGACACCCTGTATGTATGTTTTTAAATAAACTGTCTAGTTTTTATTTTATTAAATTGTATTTTTTGTTTCATTAATTATTTCTAAAATTTATTTTGCTTAGTCTCCTCATTTGAATTTCATTGGCTCTAAATATATTTATAGTTTTTATTATTTGATACTAATATAGGTACCCAGCTTTATTATATAAATATGCATACCTATATTTTATTTAAATTCAAATTGTATATCTTTATCGCTAAAAATTATTATATTATCAGATACTGTGGTGAACAATAAAAGATTGTAGTTCTCCATATTGCATAAGAATCTCTCAGAATTGTAATAAAAAAATCCTATAATTCCATAAAAAATATTTATTTTATTGCAGTGAAATTTACTAATGATGTTCTATTGAATTATATGAATTACATATGTGTTTCTGGTAAAAACTAAAAGTCTACATATATTTTTTAATTAGGTTAAATCTGATCTTAGCAATGGCATATACAGTAAGAGTCCTTCGTTACACCTCTGGTATTTGCTTTTACTCATATTTCAAATTTTGTCTGCTGGAAATCACTGAAAAAAAGTATTTGGATCAAATGAGCAGATAGTTTTAAATGGAATTATTTGCCGTAAATGTTATTTTATTCTATTCAAAGCTATATACTTTCGTCAAACTATGTGAAATATTTGCTGTAATCTATAATTTTTCCTAGAATTTATATTATTTGTAAATGTATATTATAATTTAATTCTAATCTTTTAGTTTTGAAATTTATTATCTCCGCCTTTAGCTACAATATCTCTTAGAGTTCATCATAAACTGCAAATATATTTGTTTAAGAACTACCAGTTCCTTAAAATATATTTATATATTTAAAATTTAGTATTAATGTAGGAATTATTCAAGACAAATATAGCATATTATAATCAAACTTATATTTTCTTGAAAGAAAATTGTAGGTCACAGAATGGCGTAGGTCTGAAGTAGCACGATAGATGGAGCCAGCACCTACGCTCTGTGCAAAATAATACTTAACTAATAATGTCTCAATAAAATGTTGACAGGTAAAAAGATACAGGGTGTCAAAGTTAAATAAAATGTTTCATTCTCCTTTCTAATTTAATGAATTAGAATATCTTGTGAAAGTTGGTAGTTGGGAGTTATTGTGATTAGGAAATCATAATATTCTAACTTTAACTCTGAGAGAGCTCTACGTATCTTCTGACTCTGGTATTACGTCCAATGTCTTGAGGATCACACTTATAATTTTTTCACTTCGGTTTCCATTTTCTTATAAAATATGTAATCCTCTCCAGCCTCCCCCTGGCTGCTCCCATGTCATTTCCTCGGACAGCCATGCAATAAAACGTTTAAGTAATTCATTTTCCTTACATACTAATCCGCCATCAAATTTCTTTGAGATCCACAGAGATTGAATCGTCGTCGGCCTCCGGGTCGCCGTATGACCATAATCGCAAATTATTTTCAAAGAGAAATCTACTCAGCATTCTCTTGGCTAAATTTAAATTAATACCACATTGCGGGGATGGCATTCGGTCCTCAAACATAAAGCGAATTTCGAATTTCTGGATATTAAATATATTGCCTTTCATTCCGACTACTCCGAATGCTCTCAACAAATTCAGCAATTTAGAAGTTTCTTAAACGAGGGCCGTTGCAGGGAAGGCTGCATTTGCTTTACTTGAATGGGATATTAAGACGGAAAGGTGGTAGGTGGTGCAAATTTTTGCGTATGGAATTTGGCAACAAGCAAAAGACACGCTTCAAGACCACAAAAAAATTAAATATGTGTATGGCGATTATCCTTAAGAATGCTAAATTAATTGTTCCTGGTCGCAAATGCGGCCTGTCTAATAATAATATGCCGCCTCCTCCCCCGCACAAGTCTCCGACTTATGGGCTAATTCTCGTAATTAGAATGAGGAGTAGAGATATTATTATTATTATTATTATATTCGTTATTCTTAAGTAAAAAACATACGTTTAAATTTAAGGCTTCGTTTGACGGCTACTTAAGATGTTCTTTAATTTAGGACATACTCGAAGCTTGCACAGAGCATGGAAACATCACACTTTACTTTAAGAATAACTTTGTTGAGCTTTCTCTGTTATAAATATGATATAAATATGACAATAATTCGACTTGTCGTCAGTAAAAATTTGGATTTTTTTTATAAATTAGAAAAAAAATTACGACGAGTTAAAGTGAGAGGTATCAATTTTGTACCTAGGCAGAAAACCATAATTTTTTCAACATTTTCATTAATAACTAAAAAATGGGATAACGAAACTAACTGAAATTTTAGCACACAATAGAGTAATAGTGAGGCTATATATGGTCCAAATTTCAATTTTTTTTTGTCCATACGTTTTCTTAATATCGGTTTTCAAACTCAGGAGTTTATTTCATTTATTTCGATTTGTAGTTAAAACGTAATTTGTAGCATTATTTTCTGAAAAACTAATTAGAAGTTGTAAAAGCAAAAAATAAATATTTTGGTATTTTCGGAAAAAAATTTATTGACAAAATTATTCACAATAAAAATGTCCATATGTCTTTGAAGGTAACAACCCTACTTTTTTAAATATTTTGTTCTGATAAATCACAGAATTGTAAAATTAAAACAGATTGCCAAAAAATTTGGGACTCGACGTACATTTTAATAATTCTAAGTAACTTCCTTCTGATTTCTGATACACAGAAGGCACTTACGCGGGACTGAGAAGTTAAAAAGTTCTAATTAGACCAATTGAATAACTTTTCTTAACGAAAATTTTTGATACCTTATACGAAAAAGGCACTTGACCTACGCAGAAAATATTTTTTTTTTGTTCGTGTCCAGAACTACTTAATTTTTTATAAATAAACACACGTCAGTGACTGTTTTCTGATCAATCAGATTTATGTCCTAAAATATGAATTTTTTAATTTAGTTGTATTTATAAACATGTCTTAATAGCAAATAAGCCCATGTAAAACCAGATTTTTATACATCTGAGCACAAGCAGAACTTTCTAACAAGAATCACTTTTTTCATAAACTGATAAATAGGAAAGTTTGCCCTCTTTTCAACTCCATCTGTGGACACACTGTATATTTGGACATATATTCTTAGCAGTGATATGGGGTTTGAATGGTTTGATACGTCTATCTCTAATAATAAAAAAGATGTAGGTAATAGACTGTACCGTATCTAACTGAAATTAATTCGGAAAGATTTAGAAACATCTTTAGAATTAATTTAATTCGATAGGCAAGCAGGAGTAATTTGTTGTACAAGCTTGAGTAATATTTGAGTAACACTGAATATTATTTAAGTAATATTCTAGTGCTAAAACTATTATTGATAAGAGTAATTAATTATGAAAAT